GGGTGTCGTTTCCCTCCCGCCTCGGTGCCTACAGCGAAACCCGCCGCGAAGGCCGGGGGGGACCTGCGGGGGGTGAGAAATAGGGCACGGAAATATACCTCTGCCCCGGAGGAGGGGGGCGACAGGTTCCTACGATCCCAGAGCGAGACGATTTGGGGCTTGCTGGAAAGACACGGCAAGAAAACAAACAGTTTGAGGGGAGCGCCGCGTATGTTCCTTCCACAGGGTGACGGAAAAGCCCTGTCAGTTTTAAGCGATGATACCTTGCAATAAAGGAAAGCCTGGGTAGTAGTTCTGCAGTCGTTTCCTCCGGACGAGCAGTGTAAGTGACGATTTCCATAAAAATAACAGCTGCCAAATAGTAAACAGTGTTTTCCGGCGATACCTGCCGGAAAGCTTTACGCACAATTAACGGAGCGTCACACTGAGAGGTGAGCAGGAGCTTTATTTCCTTCACCAAAATAAGAGGGAAGATGGTGGCGAATGAGCTGTCTCTAGGAAATCAGTTGTGCCGAACATAAAGCTGATCTTTGGGTATAAAATCACTCATCTGGTCCACAAACTACTCCCGTAACACCGCCGCAGTGTCGTTACGACCAATGAAACTTCAATGTGAAACCCAGAAAACAGACTTAAAAATCACCCTTAGAGAATATTAATTAAAAGGCGAGAAAACAAAAGGACGGGGTGAGCGTGGGGCGGGTACTGCAGCCTGGGCAGCCGCCCGGAGCCTTCCCCTCCCCTTCCGAGGGGGCAAGGTGACCGCCGGGCAGTAAGAACATCAGCGGGGGCTGAGCCTGTTGTGGTTTCCTTCCGTCTCGGAGCGACGGGGCGGATTAGGAAGACGGCAACCGCCGTGTTCACGTTTCGCGGAAGGAAACGTGTACAGCGGGGTACGGACCCCGGGGAATGGGGGGGGCGGCTGGTACCGCCAGTTCACGCCGGTGTGGCTCTCGAGCCCCTGGCCGTGCATCACGGCCACCTCCCGACCGCTCCTCAGCCCTCGCTCCTGAGGAGCGAGTAAGAAACAACCGGGGACCACAGTCTTCCCCTGCAATCACTTACTGTTCTACATATAACTCACTTGAGGCTTCCTTAGGTCTTACTCATTAGCACGCTGCTTCTTTCTTACTTCGAGTAGCCTCGAGCCGCACAGATACACTTACTCCCAAGGCCATTTGACTGGACTTTGCTGGAAGACCTGACGTTCAGCGTTCAAATTCCCCCTTCCAGGCTTTTCCTAAGCCATCCAAGGAGGGTCATTTGCATCAGAGAAGGTGTGGGAGGTGAAGAAACAGAGGATGCGTGCAGAGATGCTGTTATACCTCGGGACCGGGGAATGCTGGTTTTCGACCGCAATACGGAAACCAGCAGTTTGGTCCATTCGAGGTAGATACTTACGTAAGCACGCACGCAGATCGAGCGACCACCACCGGCCCGGCGGGCAACCTGCCCCCTCGGGAAGGGGGAAGGGAAGGGGAAGGCTCCGGGCGGGCGGCCAGGCTGCAGGACCCGCCCACCACGCCCTTTTCTGGGTTTCACATTGAAGTTTCATTGGTCGTAACGACACTGCGGCGGTGTTACGGGAGTAGTTTGCCCTGCAGAATTACAGCTGCTTTGGCTCTAAGTCTGCTAATATCGTTCGCGAGGGAGCTCTGGCTCCCCACAAGACCCACCACAAGCCGCCAGGCTCACCTGTAACACAGGAATTTGTACTTCAAGACACGTAAACATGCACTAAGGACTCTACAGAGGATTATGCCAAGCCGCCGTTCACGTAGCGCCTGGGCTGGCCACCACAACGTCGCCAGCAGCATCAGGGCTGTTTGAATACGCAAGTCATTGCAGCAGCAAGATGGCCTTCGCGGCACTCCAGCTGTAACAGATGCCGACGGGTTTGGATTAGGATGGGCGATCCGTATTAGCTGAAACATGGGGAAAGAAAAGGGAAACAAACGATCTGTCCGACGCCCGAATAAGCGACGGTTGTTGCTACGTTGCTAGTTATATTCTGTGTTCTTGTACAACAGAACGTCGTGCAATAGCGATGTGTAGTACCAGAAATGAAAAGGTGTGTCCGCCCCGGGTACTTGCATTTGCAATTAATACTGGTTCTGCCTCAAGGAATGCACTGTTTTATTACCTCTGATGCTTGCATACCGTTCAACTGCAATTATCTTGTCAGGAAAAGGGGAAGGCAGCTGTAATTTTGTACAACAGAGATTTGTTCATTGAAGGATTTCTTGTATTATAGATTGTCTTTCTAAGATAACACAAAAGGAAACTAAAAGCAAATTCTGTAGAAAAGGTTCTAACCAATTCTCATTTCATTCATTTATTTGGGATCTCAAATCAAACAACTGAGTATCCTCTCAGAATTTTCTCCGATTAAACTCTGTGAACAATGTGAGGAAGACACAGTGGAGGTCTGGAGATGGCCTGTAGCTTTTAATGCACTTTCCTTTTACCCTGGACTCATCGAGTTTAATCCTGATTGGAATCCCAAGGGAAAACGTCAGTGTCGGTTCACTTCATCTTAAATCCCTCTCAAGTATTTGTCCTCATCAGAAACCAGTCATATAATCAGTCGTAATTCGGCGTGTTGCAGTCTGTTCGTAAGGAAGATTTAGCTGAAGAAAGACGACTCCGGCAGGTCATGACAACAATGCTTTGGCAGAGAGCTGCGAGGGAAGATGACGGAGCAATTTTTCTGAATGATCATGGTGGAAATGCATGGGATAACCACATTCTTCAACATTAAAAATAATATCCCTGGAAAAATAGTCATTTCAGTTATAGATACCAGGGAAGAATCTAATACTATTGAACTCAGTAGCAAAAATCCTGCTGACTTCAGTAAAGACTTC